ATCCCCAAACAGCTTTTGTGTTCTCTCCTGGTTCAAGCCATACCACATGCTCAGAGTTCTCCCGTGGTGCCCAAGGGGGCCCTCCTCAGGCCCCGAGAAAGCCTGCCTGTCCCAGCATATGTCACATCAGCAGGACTCAATAAATATTGGGGGCACATAATCCCAAGCCTGTGCTCTTTGTGTCTCTTTCAGAATGTGATGTTGGTGTTTCTAAAGCCGTGGTGAACGGGTTGGCGCCAGGCAGCAATGGGCAGGACAAAGGTAAGGTCTTGAGGGGAAGCCCGGCTGGTACCACAAGGCAGTTCTACATGGAGCAGAGTATGTTGGGCCTGGGCCACTGGCCTGCCATGAGCAGTCACTGGTCGAATCAGGTCGTGAACTGGAGACCTGTTTCTCACGCCAACTTTGAGCATGTTCTTGCATCTCGTGGGTCCAAGGTCGCTCTTTTCCACTGTGAGGTGACATGTTAAAACCTGTCCCCCACTCATAAGATGTGAGTAACAACAGGTCAAGTACACCAACTGAGGCCTGTGTCACGCCTGGTGTGAATGGCATTTATCGGCCTGAAGTCTCTCTCACCCAGCATTTTACCTTCACCTACGGTAAATAGTGACACGCTCACAGTCCTGACCCTGAGGCAAGACCCTCTAATGCTGAAATAAGTTATTTCAGTGGCATTAGTTTCCTGTGCATCTTCGATTTTCAGGTTTTAAACATTTTCAGACAAAAGATTTAAGTGTGAAGTGAATTATGGGTAAGATGACCTTTGAGGTCCCGTTTGCCCTGTGGTCTCTCATGGTCAGTGTCTCAACGTGGCTGCCCAAGTAGCCGGGCAGCAAGGCTCCCATGTCACTTCTGCAGTGTGTCGTGAGCAGAGTGGTGAAGTACCTTGCTTCTGCTGCTCACAGACAGACATCTCGGGAGGTCCACCGTCTTTATGGATGTGAGTGCCCTTATCTAGAAAATGAGGGAATTAGATGTTATGCAGTGTTTATTCCTGCTTCACATTCGGGGTTTTAGTGATTCCATCTGTGCTCATCCCAATACATTTTGTGGTATCAATGAGAGGGGGCAAAAGTCCTGTCATTGAGCATTCAAGTCAAAATGCACCATCTCTCAAAGAATAATTTCAGAAAGTGACACGTTTGGCCTTCATAATTTCCTTCTGGTTCAGCCGAATATTCCTCTTGAGACCAGGCAAAGTGTAAAGTCAGGAGGAGCAGCCGGGAAGGGAAGGCATAGAGCACAGGAGGAGATGGGGAATGGGGGGGCCCAGTTGGTTTGGGGGTCATCTCCTCTGCTGCTCTGTGCTCCTTGCCTCCCTGCTTCCCTCCCCGACCACCCCTCTCTCATGGTGTGGGTCCATGTTCTCAGGGCCTTGGACAATCTTACTAAGTTACGCTTGGGAGTGTTGAGGGGCAGTGCCTGTGGCATGGCTCCACGGGTGTGTTTAAGCATCCAGTGAGCATGGGGCGGGGTTGGGCCCTGATGCTTAGAAAACCTGTGGGGCCACCAACCCCATCCCCGTGAATTCATCAGTAGAGGAGACTTCAGGGGTGTGGGAGAGGGTGGCAGGTGGATTCCACTCTCAACTCGGTAAGACTCAACCTTCATTTGGAAAGGAGGCAGCAGATGTCACCTGAAGGTGATCATGGCGGCCTGGGGGAACTGAACAGGTCACTGAACCAGGTGCCAGGACATCTAAGCTCCAGCCTCTTCCCCTAAAAGCTGGATGACTCTGAGCAGCTCCAAGCCTCTTGCTTTTTCCTCTGAAAATGGTAACAAAAATCCCAGGTGGTCATAAGGAGCAGGCAGTAGGATTGCTGTGAAAGCATCTTAATACATGTAATATTGCTATTATCTACTTAGTTGTTGATGGCCGTATGCTATGTGACCGCCTTATGAAGCAGCAGCATGATGGACTGGAAGGTGAACTCTGCAAGGTTGAGGTGCCTACATCCCTCCTGTCCCCAGGCAGGCTCGCCTGCATGATACTGATGCACTAGTGACCATCTTGCTTCCCAAACAGCCTCACCCCCAGTTATTATGTAGATCTGGGGCCATAAGACCTCGGAGGGCTGCTCATTGGGGTGACATTGGTGCCATGACACGTGAGCTCCCATCTCTATTTGCTGCCATTAGGACGAGAGGGTGAGGGGAGGCCCCCCAACAGGCTTATCGTGAGGAGGAAGGTTTGGGGATGTGCCCACCATCGAGACTCCAGAATTTGGGGACACAGGGGGTGCAGGGCAGCCTGCAGATGGAGAAGTATGAGCACCCAGGATATAAGGACACATCCCTGGCCACATCCCAGGCAGCCATCCTAGTTCTCTTACCCACATGCTGGCTGTCAGGATCCTGGGCTGCATCCGTGGGTGCTTCCCAGAGCCTTGAGCACGCACTGGACACCTGGCAACCTCTTGTCCAGGAAAGGCCGGTTTGAGCAAGACCATCTGCTGCCCAACAGATGGAGGTTCTGATTTGCTTGGGGACAGAGGACCATGGTTGTGAGAGCAGACACAGGACCCCGGAAGTTGTGATGGTGGGGAAGCAGCTGTAGTGTCTGAGAGGACCAGGCAGCTCAGCGGCTTGTTCCCTTCCCTCCTCCGCTCATCTGGGGCCTGAGCCAGAGCTCTCCTCCTCACGGCCCTGCCCCCAGCACAGACACCCCGGCATTATTCTCCCAGGGGCCCCTTGGACGCTGGGTGCTCTCCCTTCCTCTGTGTGCCAGGCCATCTGTGTGTCTGGAAATCTCTTTGTCCAGAGCCTTGGCACATTCCTGCTGTGGCACGAGGCACAGATGAACACTGACCAACTGCGTATGGGTGACGGTGGGAGGGTTCTGCCATATTGGCATGGAACCCTGGAGAGGGAAAGCAGGTTATTTTAAATTACCGCATCTACTGCTCTTCATATTGTTCTTTTCGTGTGGGCGACTTCCTCCTATTGTCCCTGCCCAGTTCCTCAACTGCCTGAGTGTTTCCCAAATGTTCTTTCTGGATACACCATTTACCCTTTTGTGTTTTCAGCAACTGCCGACCCTTTACGTGCACGCTCTATTTCTGCTGTTAAAATAATTCCCGTGAAGACAGTGAAAAGCTCTTCAGGCCTGGTACTCCCTCCAGGTATCTTTTCTTGGGTTTCTTTCTTTCTTTCTTTCTTTCTTTCTTTCTTTCTTTTCGTTCTCTTCATTATGCTTATCATGACAGCTGTTTTCCTTTCTTTTCCTTCTGAATAAAGACCTCAGCTGTATCCTTATTCCCTCTCACATCCTTGGCCGGTTTCCTTTCTGTGTGTGTGTGTGTGGGTGTGTGTGTGTGTCTGTGAGCCAGCAAGTCTGGAGAAGAACTGACAGGTGCCTTGCCCCTCCTCTCGTTAGTAGAAGGGTCAGTCCAGAGGCTAATCATTTACTCTGCCCTGGGTCTTTGGTACATGAGGTATGTGATACATGGAGGTACATGAGGCACGTGGCTTTGCAGAGGGGCTTCCAGCTCCCAGTATTTTATTTAAAACTTCAGTCTCCCCGAGAATGAATGTATCCCCAGAAGGAACCTCTGAGTTGGGCTGAACTTGAAGCAGCTGCCTTAGATACCTAACCTAGATGCACCCCTGTGAGGCTTGCTGGGCGATTTTCCTCCTCAACCCCCGACTTCACCTCCTCTCCAAGGAGAGGGTGTCCTTCAGCTCTCTGCTCTGGCACATAGCTTCCTTCTGTGCCAAACGGGACAAGTGAGGCTGAGGTGGTGCTTTATCCCAGTGGGGCTTTCGGGAGTTGGGCAGATCTGGTTATGGACCTGGGAACCTAGGATGGCTGGATTTGTCAGTTTGCTGCTCATCCTTTTTAAAAAGACCATGAATCAGTTTTCCCAGTAGTTTTGCGACATCAGTCACTTATCCTCTTGACAGGGTTGGACAAGTCGCATGCTCCCCAAGGCTGCTGCCTGCTCTGCCATACTTTGTGTTTTTGTGCTTCACTCTCACTGGGAAGAGGTGCTGACGGGGCTCTCTCCTGTCTGCTCTCTCCTGTCACGCAGTGGTCGTTCATCTGAGCTGTTGGAAAGAGGCTGCTGGACTTGGAAAGAAGGAGGGAAGAGACTTCTCCCTGCCCTGGCACGGGAATGGGGTGGGGTTGATGTCTGAGCCTACATCCTGCCCATCACCCACCTTTGGCCTTACCACATAATCGCAGTCTTGACAATTTTAGGTCAGAGGTCCAGGCTGTGCTGTGAGCAATTTGAAAAAATGAACTGTGGAATTCAGTTCAGCTCTAGCTGCACAGAAGGAAACACGTGCTTTCTAGCACTGTGTGATTGATCTACGTCAGTTTCTGGCCTCCCCATCACTGGTTTTCCTAGGGATGGACATCCAGATCTTCTGAGGTCTGTTTTAAAATCCTTCTCAATGGAATTTTGAAAGATGGCCTGCGTCTGCTGTTAGGCCATTGTGAACTGTAGGAGAGGTCGGGGCCCAGGGAAGGCTCAGTGGGGGGTGCGGTGAACACTGTTCACTGAAGGATTTAGCGCTTCTTGTCGTTTTCTTTGGTGTGAATTCATGAAGTTTGGAATGTGAGGCTCTTACCCATGATCTTTCTCCACAGGCAGCATATCCTGTCATCATTTCAAGGGTCTTGACTTGCTGATAGAAGATTTTCTTTTCCTTTTCCTTTTCCTTTTTCCAATGGGGAACTGCAGGGAGCAGTGATTCTCCCCAGAACAACTTGATTCCCAATGTTTCCAGCTTGCTCTTTTATAAGAAGAATGGTCTGGAAGCTTGAGAAATCTCTCATCAGCTCTTGCTTGAATTGTGCCTTACTAATTGGTCAGAAGTCTACTCACCAGCCCAAGCCTCATCTAATAAAAGGAATTAACCTGCATTCATTTTGAAATGTTTTCAGCTGATAATTATAACTTACACAGAACTCATTGTTGCCTCCATTTTCCCCAAACCTCATGACGTGTGGTAAACCTCCGAAAATGGGATTCGTCTTTCTCCTCCACCCACAAATTAATTTTCATTGACCACCACACTGACCATAAGGCTTTCCATGGCTATAAGCAGGTTCATCTCATTCTCTGGCTGTAATGAGTTGCTAGCTGACTACTGGCTTTAATCCTTCAGGAGCCTTGGATTCAGGCTTCTCTTTTGTGCCTTTCCTTTTCAGACATGGATCCAACGAAAATCTGCACTGGGAAGGGAGCGGTGACTCTCCGGGCCTCGTCTTCCTACAGGGAAGTCCCAAGCAGCAGCCCCACGAGCCCTCAGGAAACCCCACAACATGAAAGCAAACCAGGTGTGTGACCCCTGTGCTGGGGGGAGCTGTTCAAAGTCATACTGGGAGGGAGGGAGGCCTGCCTGCTTTTGCTCAGAAAGGTATGAATTCATCTGCTGCCTCCTAACTCTCCCAGGGGTCCCTAGAACAGTCAACACCTCACTCCACGTGTGGTGGGTGGTGATCAGTGCCCTGAACTAATGGGTATTCACTTGCTTCAGGCAGACGCATAGCAGAGGCCACCACTTTGTTAGCTTTTGACCAGAGATGAGGAGAAACCTCATTAGGGAGCCGATGGCTCTGCAGAGGACAGAGGTGGCTTAGGGGCATGGGAGGGAGTGGTGAGATGGGCTAGAGGGGAGGTTTTGCAAGGCCATCCCTGCTTTTGAGAGCTGGGTGTAACTGGCCAGGCAGGGCTGGGGCAGTAGGAGGGGAGAAGCCAAGGGAGGCTGAGAAGTGCAGGTGCCTGACTGGCCAGGCTCCCAGGAAAACGGTGGGGCAGGGCTCAAGCCTGGTGGGGGTGACCTGGCGGCCAAAGCAGCAGGAACAGAAGAGCAATTCCGAGGCCCCTGCACACTAGGAGCCAAGAGAAACAAATGAAGCTCCCATATGCAGCCCACCTCCCATCTGATCCATTGTTCAGGGTGTCTAGAGAGTGGTGTTGAGAACTGGGACCTGGGAACCCAATAGATCGGCATTCTACCACCTGTGGCTGTGCAACTGTGAACGGGACATTTCACTGTCTCAACCCTAGTGATCTCATCTGGAGAATGGGCTTGATAATTGCACCTGCCTCAGCATTCCTGTGAGCGTGGAGGATGTTAAGTTTTTGCACCTGCCTAGTGACATGGAACAAGCCCTTAGCTGCTATTCGTAGGTTATGATTGTGATTATTTTGACCTCTCTAGAGAGGGTGCTCCAGAGGGCCCCTCCCCACTCACCCCCCCCCCCCCCCCCCCCCCCCCCCCACCCCACAAAGTGTTCTGGGCACTGAGAAACACTGAGGTTTCACAGGGACAGCTGGCTTTGTGGCCCCCTGCCCTCCACATGGCACTGGTTCTCACATTGGAGCTGCATCAGAATCACTGGAGTAAAATGACAGGGTGCTGCGTCCCAGGCCAGAGCTTTAGGATTTATGATTCCCACTTGTAGGTTTGAGGTGGGGTTGGAGGGTTTACATTTCTGACAAGTTCCAGGTCATGCTGCTGCTGCTGCTGCTGCTCCAAGGACCACATTTGAAAGCTACTGCTGTAGGGAAAGGGGATTTCTTCCTTTCTGGATGGAAATGAAGGGAGTAAAGGAATTAGGATAATGTCCACTTCCTTGGGACTGGAGACAAAAGGAAGTGGGACACACAAACTTTTTGGTGCAGTGGGGAGCAGTGTGTTGTGATGAGATGGAATTCTGTAGGATGGGGATGGTTGGTGCCCAGCATCCCGGGTCATGCCCAGGAAACTGACTTCCTGTCCCAGCCACCTATAACCAGTGCCAAGGCAGATGCCCAAGGACTAGGCCAGGCTAGGGTTTGAGCACAAACCCTGTTCTGATAATGTTGCCTCCCTGTGGAGGGCTTCTTTTTCCCTGGTCTCAGGGCAGGCATAAGTGGCTGCCAGCACTATTGGTTGAAAGAAGCTTCTTGGCCTCATATTCCTGAACCCATACCTGAAAAGGTAGGGCCAAGCAATGAAGGCAAAATAATTCCTTCCTAAGGCTAACTTAATCCAGCCTCTCCAGGCCTAACTGGGAAGATCTAGCTCCCAAGGATGTTTGAGGAAGAGACAATCCTAAGGGATAATTTAAAGAAAAAGACCATACCTACAGCTCATGGCCCAATAAAATGACCTTATCAAGCTCAGGGCCCTTTCTCTGGTGGTAAAAGGTAGAGCGAATGGGAGGAGGAGAGGGTCCTTGAGCTCCCCCTGGTGGTTATAGAGTGGCACTAACATAGAACACCTGCTACTCATTCGCCCAGTAGTCTTGGGCTTGGGCTTGGGCTTACAGTGCCGTGCAGTGATTTGAGCACTTTAAGAAGCTCTCTAGTCCCCAAATAATTCTATATCCTACGAATTCTGACAACTCACTTGGGCGAAAAAAGATCTTGTTTGAAAACGCAAATACATTGAAGAATTAGGGGATAGCCCAGTTGTGCACACTTCCAAGGTAAAAATCAGTTTTAGTAGATTATTTTCCTCCTGGTAAGTGGAGTTCATTGGCTCCAAGCCAACAGACATTTAGTTAGCATCATCAGTGTGCCAGGCACTAAGTAGTCACTGGGAATTGTGGCGAGAAATGGGGAGAAGGGAAGGACAAGGAGAGTAATTCTAGGTGCATTAGGTGAGGACAGAAGTCCTTTTGCTGCAACAGAGGAGTCTGGCGTGGGCCGCTAGTCCACTTCTGCGCTTTCCGACTGGGGAAGCCACACCTTTGAAGACCGTGTAAAGTATGAGGGACCTGTGCAAGCTGCTTTCCAAGCTTCCTAGCTCCAAAATGCTCCATGACCTTGGGAAGTTTGGGGATTAACCTGACACAAACAGAATCCCATTCACTGAGGTCAGATTCGAGATTACACACCAGGGCAGTTTGGGGTGGAAGGAAGAAGCTGGGTTTGAGTAAGGGGAAGAGTAAGTACCAAAGAGGCTGGGATGAGTTAACACTGGGGTGAGGTTAAAAAAGGATGTGACTCCAAGGATGGGACCTCCCAGCTGGAGACCTTTCCTCTTACTGTACTGCTCACGGACCAGCATCCTGCAGACTCTTGACTGGCTGTGTCCAGGCGGCTCCTCAGCCCTCCCCTCATCCCTGCCTGCTCCCTCCGCTTGGGCCTCTGGCTGATGACCTGCCTACCCCGCAGCGGCCTCTAGTCCTGTCACAGGGCCTGGGAGTCCATGGGCCTCGACAAGCCTCAGGCAAACCATTTTCTGCACCATCTGCAGGCAGCCACGTTCAGCCCGGACCAGCAGCGCACATATGAGGCAGCGAGTGTCTCTTGCCAACGACAGGGCATGCTTCCTGCTCGCAGTGCCTTCACAGATAGCTGATGTCCAGTAGCGTCCAGCTCCCTCCCTTATCACCAGGGCCAGCATCTGTGCCCCAGCTGCTGTGTCTGCCTTTCTCTGCCTGCTCCCTGGCTTCACCACCTCCTTCCATCCCTGTATATCTACAAGTTGCTGATCATTTGCCCAGACTGGAAGCTCCAGTCTTGTGCTACTGCCCAGCACCTGTGTCCTGGTTTCTTTCCTTACGTGACCCTTTGACACCCGCATTTCAGAGGTGGCTCCTGTTTCCAGTCCTTGCTTCAGTTCCCTCATCCTATGAGACCTGGTCTAGTTCTGCAGTGACACAGCCCTCTGTTGAGGCTCAGCTCTGCCACTTACCATCTTTGTGATGTGGGCAACTCATTCAGCCTTGGCGAGCTTCAGTTTCCTCATCTATAAAATGGGGATGACCTGAGTAGAGTTGCTGGGATTCAGTGAGCTCTTTCACACCAAGATCTAGCATGAGCCAGACACACAACAGGTGCTCTTTGATGACAACCATCCTAGTTATGCACATCCGGAGGCCTGTCACAGCCTTCCAGTAATTGCAGTTGGTGGCCTTGAGGGCAGCGGGAATGAAGAACCAGGGCCAGGGGGAAAGTGCATGTGGAAGAGTGAAGTGGCAGGACTTGGTACAGTGTGTTTGAGGAGCTTGGAGATGTGAACCTGCCGAGAAGGAAGTGCCTCCCCTGGTTGACTAGGAGGATGGCTGAGGTGCTCATGGAAGCAGTGGCTTTATGAAGGGAGAGAAAGGGATGTTGAATTCCATAGTTTGACATACTAAGTTTTGGGGAAAGGGCAGGGCCTCTAGGAAGGAGTTTCTAAAAGATATTTGGAAACTTGGAGTTCAGAGTGTGGGTTTGGGAGCCATGTGCATCCAAGATTGGGAGGATGGAGGTGCTGTCTGAGGTGGAGGGTGGTAGAGTCCTTGGAGTTGCCCGGTTTAAACCCATCCTCCAGACTCCTGCCCTCAAGAGGTAGCTCGACTCTGGATTGTCACCCGTGGCTTCCTGACCAGCCTCCTAATCTGTGAATGTGGACCTTCGTTTTTGGATCAGAACCTTCTAGAAAGAACTGCAATAATTTTAGTGCTGACTCCCTGACTCTGGGAGAGGTATTACCTTATCCCTGCTTCCTTGCCTGGCCATCATTGCCTGGCCAGGTCTGGGTATTGACCTGGTTGGTTCAGGGAGTCTACACCTGTGTCCCCAGGTCAGAGTGTTACTCTAGAAGAGACAGGGAGCCTGATGGACCGGTGAGTGTGATACCAAGCTTCCTGTCTGGTGTAGCCAGAAGGCCATCAATCCCTATGTTCCGACCCACAAGCCAAAATCCAGTTCAACCCCTACATTTTGTTAATTCTGTGCCGGTTGCCTCCAGTCTTTCCTGCCTGATTCTTGACTACCACATTAGCTTTGGGCGTAAATCAACTAATTTCCTTTGGTTTGACTCTTGTGTTTGTGCTCCAGAAATGGCAGTAGCAAAAAGATATCATGAGAAAATTGACGTGGAAGCAGTTAAATACTGCTAAAGACCGTTAAAGCGAGTTAGAGTCCTCTTGTATGCATGCCTGTACAAGAATTAGGGCCAAACAAAGAAGTTGGAAGGAAAAGACTCCACCAGAGAACACCGTGATTTTTGACACCAAATGCTCATTGAAGGGATTCCAAAAAGTACCCTCAGGTTTCATATTTTGCTAGGACTCAACTCATTGAAAGCTGTTATACTCATATATTCACGGTTATGGTGGATTACAGGGAGACGATACAGATTAATATCAGCCAAGAGAAGAAGTCCAAAGTGAGCTCTAGGGAAGAAGCAAGCACAGAGACTTTTGTTGACCTCTCCTAGGGAGTCAGGATGCATTAGTTCCTGTCTGATGTAGCCTAAAGACCATCAATCCCCGTGTTCTGACCCACAAGCCAAAATTCAGTTCAACCCCTACGTTTTGTTAATTGGGGCAAGGACAGGACCTCTAGAAAGAAGTTTCTAAAAGACATTTGGAAATTTGCAGTTCAGAGTGTGGATTGAGGTGTGACAGTATGTTCAGGGAACTGTCAATCAGGAAGTTCTCCTGAGCTGTTGTGCCCAGAGTTTTTATCTACTGCTCATGTGGCTAGTCTCACTCTCCAGCCCGAGGGTGAGCTCTTGATGGCTCAAAGTCCCCACGCTGAATCGCATTATTGATCTGGCACAAAGACGCTCCCATTGGGATGACATTATAGATTCAGAGATTAATTCCCAGAAGGCAGATGGCAAAGGCCAGATCTCTTTCTGGGTAAGGTTAAATTATTTACCACACAGCTGGAATAAAGAAATAAACATAATGAGATTTGGAACACTATTAGATCCACTGGTGACAATTCTTGGGATACCCTCCTAGAATACATTGAATCTGACTCGGTAAGTTATCCTGAGATCCTAAGAACTGATCAGCAGAACAGCTTCAGAGCAGACCAAAATGAAATTAGCACAGAATGAGATAAAAGAAAATATCAAGAGGTTGTGGCCACAGGCCAGCAAAGATCATGTATAAAAAACAGATAGAGGAAAAGATAAGACAAAATAAACTGTACTTCTCCTGGAAAGGCTCGGTCTCAGCAGGGCTGCAAAACCTACCTAGAATCCAACTTTCCTAAGCCCTCCTCCCCCCTCAGGGGCTCTGAGGTAACATTTATCGAAAGAAGCATTTTGACAGTCTCCTCAACCACGAGCTAATAATTGATGGTTATGTATATAAAATTTCACCTGCCGCACTTGGATACAAATGGCTGTGGGCTGGTGCCGACCTTCAAGGTTCAGAAGACTAGGTAACAGAGGATGACATACATTGGAAATTCAGCCTTCCTTTAGCGAGGAAGAGAGGGGTGCCTAGAGAGGTCCTGGAAATTGCCTTTTCTGGGGCAAGGTGAGGGGAACAGTTTTTGTGACTTGAAATGAGAAGAAAAAGTGGGTTGATTTCCAGGGATATTGCCTTCTCAAAGCTGTTTATCAGATGGCAGATGTCAACAACTCTCATTTCTATGTGTGGGGAAACTTTTTTCCCTTAGTTTTGGATTCCAATTTTACTAATAAGCACATACTTTCTGCCAGGTATTTCCATTAAGTCCTCATAACTCAAAAGAGGTAGATAATACTTCATTTCACAGATGAGGCTGTCCTGTGCTGTGGGATGTGCAGTTAGCAAGGACTCCAGCTAGACAGTCGGATGCCAAAATGATAGTCCCCTTACGACTAGTGCTTTGGAGGGACAGACTCATCTCCGCTGTCCATGACGCATCCGCTTGTCAGTGTCACCTGAATGGAAGCAACTCAACCAAGAACAAAAGAGCAGACAAAGTAATGTGCCCCCATGTCCGTGTAGAAAGCTCACGTCCTTCGTCAGATAGCCCCTCACTCAGAACCTATTGATATTCAGTGTATGTGTAAATCTAATACATTTGACAGAATGGCTCGACAAAGGTGGGCTAGAAATAACTTAGGAAGGTGGGACAGTATAAGTTGATGGATACAGGGTTGGGGGGAACCATTATCATATTGTGTTACTTCGTGCTTGAGGGCCTGCCATGTGCAAATAAATCTCTGGGCCAGGAATCTGGATGGATGCAACAGTGAGTGTTAAAAATGGTCACTTTTAGGATCCTTCATATGCCTGATCTCTGGATCTTCAGCAACCCTGTGGTGTCCATGGAGTAAGGATCCTATTTTATAGACGAGAAAAAGAAAGTTCAGAGTGATTGGCAGCCTGCCCTTGGTCACAGAAGCCAGTACATTGCAATAATGTGCATAAAACTCAAATCCTATAAATTCCCCAGCTATGTGGTTGGGAAGAGAAGACAAATACCTGTGAATTATGCATAAGGGAGTAGCAGAAATGTACCCAGCAACCCACTAAAAGAATACATGACAGAAACGTTATAAAAACCTCTGTTTGGGGGGCCCCTGGGTGGCTCAGTCCGTTAAGCATTTTGGTTCAGGTCATATCTACAGTTCATGAGCTCAAGCCCTGCATCAGGCTCCATGCTGAGGTTGGGGCCTGCTTAGGATTCTCTCCCTCTCTCTCTGCCCCTTCCCCATTCTCTTTCTCTCTGTCTCTCAATAATAAACTTAAAAAACCCTCTATTTTAGAGGGGAAAAGAAAGCAAAAATGGGTACAAAATAGTTAACAGTTAATGGGAAACAGTTTTCCAGAAAAACGATGCGTTTCAAATGGTCCTTGTATCGTGGTTTTCAAAGTATGAACTGTGGACCGGCAGCCTCAGCATCACCTGGGAAACATGGTAGAAATGTAAGCCTTCACCTCCCATCCACTGAGTCAGAAGCGCTGGGGGTCGGGCCCTCCAGTCTGTGCTAACAAGCACGCAGGTGATTCTACTGCAGTTGAACTGCTGTGCAGGGGGGGCAAACCATTCGAAACCTTTACCTGATGCTTTGCCTTTTGTTCTCACACCTTTTCTCCCACCTCCTCCCTGGAATGTAGGTGGTTGGGGGGGGGGGGGGTTGGTGGCTGTGGGTGTTGGGCAGAGTGCTGCACTAGCTTCGGGATACCCAGGCTGGCTGCTTTGCATTTCCAAGCTGTGTGATGTGGGGCAAGCTGGCCTGTCTTGTCCTCGTCCGTGAACGAGTGATCACCCACCTCACAGACTTGCCGTGTACACTAAATGAAGTACTAGATAGGACAAAAGTGACTAACGGTGTCTGGCCCTTCGATGGTGTTCAGTAACCCTGGAAAATCTCCACTCGACATCTGGAAAGCCCACCTCTAGTCCTTGAGGTGGGGCTTGGGTTGTGACAGCTGCTGTATTAGTCCCTCTTTATACCCCTAGAGGGTAAGATAAGAGTAGGCAGGACACGGGGCTCCTGGGTGGCTCAGTGGGTTGAGCATCCGACTTCGGCTCAGGTCATGATCTCACAGCTCGTGGGCTCAAGCCCTGTGTCGGGCTCTGTGCCGACAGCTCGGAGCCTGGAGCCTGCTTCAGATTCTGTATCTCCTTCCCTGCCCCTCCCCCGCTCGTGCTGTCTCTCTCAAAAAATAAATTTTTAAAAGTTATTAAAAAAAAAAGAGTAGGCAGGACATGAAGAAGGAAGTTAAGGGTTTGGCTAGTTCAGGGGGTTGGCACACTATGGCCTGCAGGCCACATCTGGTCCATGCCTATTTTTGTACAAAAAATAGTACAATGGGAAAATGGTTCAAAGGAAAGCACAAGAGGAATAGTATTATATGCATGTGAAAATTCTGTGAAATTCAAATTTCAGTGTCCACAAATAAAAGTTCTTTGGAATACATCCACACTCATTCATGTACATGTTATCTGTGTCCACTTTTGTGCTAGGATAGCAGGGTTGAATAGCTGCGACTGAGACCATATGGCCCGCAATCCCTAAAATATTTATTGTCTGGCCCTTGATAGAAAAAGGTTGCTGACCTCCGGGCTAGGTGGAGGGCAGAGCATAGAGACGAGGTGATGTGGAAGGTGATGATGATAGCTAGCAAACATTTACTGAGCCCTGGCAGGCACTGTGCTAAGCATTTCTCCTGCATTATGTCATTGAATCCTTATAGCAACACTTAGGAAGCAAGCATAGCATTATCCCCACTTTTCAGATGGGAAAATAGGCTTAGAACTTGCTCAGGGTCCCAGAGCCCATCGGTGGTGGAACCAGGATTTGAGTTGAGGTCAGGGTGGTAGCCAGCCACAAGGGGACATGGGTGGCTTGTCACGTGATGAAAACGCAGGGTGATTAGATTTTGAAATGTTTATGTGGCTCATTGAAATGGAAAGAAGGAAAGCAGGCAGAGGAGGAAAAAAAAAGTCCTTATCACAGCAGATACCTCTGGGCTTAAATCATGCTTTCCCCCTAGCCCCGCTGCCAGTCGCCACAGAAAAAGTGCTTATCTACTTCTCCCTCTCCGGAGTCAGTTAATTAAGCCCAGCCTGCTAATGAGGAGAGGTCATTCAGAGCCCACATCAGGGATGGAGAAGGGGAATGGGAGTTACTAGGGACAGGGCAGGGGAGAGTTCTGTTGCCTTTTTGTCTGTAAAATAAGAATGTCAAGGAACAATTGTTTCTTCATTACTGTGAATGTGAGCCTTGTGTTTTCAAAGGTCAGCGCCTGTGAGCACATCATGGTTTAGAGTGGGTTCCTATGGTAATTAGGCCATCGTGACTGAGGGCATTTTGTGTCAGGCCACGGGGTGCTGGGTTTTCCTCTTTCTCTGCAGTACATGCTTGTTTCCTGCGAGTGTAACCATTTCTGTTTGCCCCTTTCTCTTGTTTTCATCCTTTCTGCACCACACGTAGTTCTGGACTCAGAGAATCCCTCAGCAGGTATGGTGTCTCTTGCATTCTTTCTGCCCCTGCCTTCCACCAGGGACTTATATGAAAGGGGAACCGGGGAGTGTTCCCTGTGAGTGAGGGGTTTCTTTCTTTTCTTCCCCCCATCTCTCAGATGAGTGGAGGCTCTCTTCCAATGCTGATGCCAATGGAAACGCCCAGCCCTCCTCACTTGCTGCCAAGGGCTACAGAAGTGTGCATCCCAACCTTTCTTCCGACAAGCCCCAGGTAGGCCTGTGCCCACGGGTGGGGTGGGGACTGGTGAGTGGCACCTGTTCTTGAGTCTTTTAGCCTGCGCTCATGACTTCCTGCTTGCCCAGCTGAATAACGGACTGGGATCTGAGCCACACTTTCGGCTAACTGTGGAAAAGTTCTGCAAGGACCGGAGATAGAGAAAAGTTGGGGCTCAAGGACAGCAGAGGATGAGGATGATGTATACCAGGGGATAGGAAGTGTGAGCCCAGTGTTTCTAGGTTTGAAATGTATGTGGAAATGTTCTGAAAGAGGGAATGCATTTAGCCCTGAGTAAGGGGGGGAAGAGTCTGAGCCTGGTGGGTTAAAAACTCTGTAATCAAAGAGTACGCTCTTGTGTTTATTGCATTTATTTGCTGTAAGAGTTCCAGCAACTCTAGGCTTACAGATCACGATTGGGTAGCTGTGGCCAGCCCCAAACCCAGTGGCCCAGAGCAGGCAGACGGACGTCTGAATGGCCGGAACAGCACAGCCTCAACTGCCTCGTGCTGATCTGCTAAAGAACACACCAACCCCTGCCCCAGGCCCCGCACAACTTGGAGAAGGGATCATTTTGCCTTAAGTCTTTCCCCTAAGTTGTTTTCCTGATCTTTCTTCCTTCCTCTCCCTGTCACTACTCTGCCATTTTGATGAAAGAATAGATCCTGTTTTAGTTTAGTTTAGTGAAGAGTGTTTTTTACAGAGGAGTAACATCCGTGGGATGGAGCCATCCTTTCTCTTAAAGGACACTGTACTCCAAAAAAATGTGGTGGGAATATGTTCCTCATGTGGTCCCCGTCCCTGGGCCTGCCTTGCGTGAAGGTGCTCCCAGAATTCACCAGGAGCCTGGGCATTCCAAATGCTGCCCCGGATCCCACCCCACTTGTCTGATGATCCTCTTGCTCCTGAGGGCATAAAGTTGCACTGGCCCCTGAAATGGAACCAAGTCAGAGAGGACGTCTTCCTTCCTCTCTGCAGACCCTGGCTTTCCGGGCTTAGAGGTGTCGCTGAGCAGCTCCGCTGAACCTTCCCGCCATGCTCGCCTCCCGTAGGCACAGCCACATGCACGCAAGGCCACTGGCTAGAACCCGAGCTGCAGGTGTGCCTCATGATGCCCTTATAGGACACAGCTGTCCAGCAAATGACTTGCCATCGATGTTCCATTTCCGAGACCTTCCCCAGTGTGTGAGTGCGCTGCCTGTCTCTCAGAGACAGGCTTCTGTCTCTGCAGTCTCGGGCGTGAATAGAGCTGGCTCTGTCTGAGTTAGGAGATGGTGCTGATTAATTCAAGGCAAATGTGGAAGCACATCTTCCTCCCCTATCAGTGACGTAGTTCAGAGGCTAACTCTCTCCTTCCTTTGGCTTCTTAGCTCTTCTGAAGAGATAATTTTGAGAACGTGAAGTAAATAAAAATTCCTCTTAAATACATTTATTTACTACAGCTTTACTGAGCATTCACTGTGTTCAGATCAAGATGTTAAACATTGCCCTCAAGGAGTTTATAAGGGTGAAATTTATCATAATGGTGAATTTCCTATCATATCGCCTACAGATAGCATATTTTCTTATTTGTCACTCTCCAAGAATTTTTTTTTTAACTGGGGTGTCTTAAAGAGAACCTGGCAAATTGCTGATACAGAGGTTTTGTTCTGTATATTCAGTGTACATTTGGCCACCCAACTTTCAAGAACCTTTAGGTCATACATTATTTCTTGGATTTGTTTTCTGAATGCAAGAATGACTTCTTGTCCATAGAGCCATTGCCAGACCTGTAAGTACTATGCTGGCTTAGACAGAACCAAGTTGGGCTGGGCTGGGGACTGCCCCGGCTTAGTTTCAGATGAAGACAGCTCTTAGAGCCCCACAGGCCTGGCATCTCCTTATAAGGAATGAGTTGGGGTCCGGGAGACCCCGGGGCCAGAGGGGAATCCTGTTTTCTGGTGCTCCCAGATGCTGCCTTTCTTTCTGCTGTCCTGGACCTGCTGCTCTCCTCACCTCTCGTAACGAGGAACCCAGGCTCCCCTCCCTCTGACAGCATCATCACGGTGGTCTTCAGTGGAGGCGGAAATGGGCAGTTTCTGGAACTGTATATGCTAGGAACATATCTGATTCTTCAAGCAGCTCCATTTCTTCACTGCCCCCACCTTCTACAGGGATGAAGGGAATTTCATTAGTAGCCAGCTAGGCAGGAATGGAAGCTGCCTCTGTAGTTCGTACAGTGTTTACAATAAATCAGAAAGTAGTTCCTTCCATGTAAAATGACGATGCCTATCTCCCTCCTTCTTTGGGACAGGAAGGCCTTTGGCTCAGGGTGAACTGTCAACACTCTGGGGAGGCATCTTCTCTACAGGGTCAAAGCCCTGGGAAGCCTTGTGCTTGATGTCATGCAGCCCTGGCACCTTATATGGCCAAAAGCAGATTAAGTTAAAAACTCACTGAAACCTACTTCTATCTTTGGACAAGAAGAATCACATGTGGGACACTGGAGCTCAAAGTAAAAGTAACTCTGAGCTGAAGTCAAAATTGGCTTTTGCTTCTCTCCCTGACAACCACCGCTCCACTCACCCCCAGTCCCTTTGGTGTGTGATGGTTCAAGTGCTTTATTTGTAAAGAGCATTGTTCGGTTTGAAACATGCCCCACCCTCCCCAACCTCCAGTGTAAGTTCACTGGAACCAAGTATGTCCCAACTGGAGGGTTTTACTCCTGCTAACTACTGAAGAGGGGTCATTCGTTTTGTATTTTTGACTGGTCCACGTGGCCTCATTCCACTGGCACTGTCTTGGGCACCCTGTGGAAAGGATAGGCATCAAGTTAACCTAGGATATCCACATTGTTTCTCCTCAATCCAGGTTATCTGTAGCTTGAAAACTGAGTTTGTTATGAGTTGCTTACTGTTTCTGGGGTTGATCTTCTAATCCAGACTCAAAAAACTTGATTTCTTACCTAGTCACCCTTGTTAGTATCCCTTCCCCTTGCTACCTGCACTCCACAAAAAATAAAAAACAACCCCCAGATAGACCCACACCCTTGCACTCTCCCGGCTTTTGGTCATAACCCATTTGCTAAGTATTGACCAAACTTACTATACTTCACTGGTGCAATTTAGATGATGTTCCAGCTTTCTAGTACTGGGCTATCTTTGAAGATAGGAACCCGTGAGGAAAATCTAGGTGTCTTAGCTTAGGCTGCTGTAACAAAATCCCATAGTCAGGTGTCTTAGACAACAGCTATTTATTTCTCACAGATCTTGAGGCTGGGAAGTCAAAACCAAGGTGCCAGCTGATGTGGTTCCTAGTTAGGGCTCTCTTCCTCGCACATAGACAGCCACCTTCTCGCTGTGTCCTAACCTGGTGGGGCAAGAGTGAACTCTAGTCTCTTTTTATAAGGACACTGATCCCATCATGGGGACCCCACCTTCATAACCCCATCTCCTCTCCTACTTACTCCACTTCCAAACACCATCACTTGGGGCTATGGGTTCATTATATGAACTTTGGGGGACATACACTTAATCCATAACACAAGGAAAATAAACTTTCCTCATTTTATGGTCTAATTTCCACTGATTGCCAGATGGTTCTCATTGACATGAGGGTCATTCTGGAGATTTACTCCATTTCCTCTGCCCCACTGAGACCCAAGGAGGAGCTAGGAGCTGTATTGAGGGAAAGGGAATGAGATGTGACCCATACCTTCCTCTCAGCCTGGAACCAGAGCTTTGGGCTTAAGCCAGAAGTGTGAGGCTGGGCACCCACTGTGGGATTGTCTGTGCCCGGTGGTGGGCTGGATGGGAGTGGGGAAGGGGCTGGAATTTGAGGAACCAGGCACAGTCTAACTCATTAGGCAAATCAAGTGCTTCATTGCCTGGTCCCTTTGTTCTGTGTGCATCAAAAATGGGAGACTACATGCTTTTAATCTCATGCCTGTCTTCCTTCTAATAATTAGTTCCATCAGATTGTTTCCTCTGAGAAAAGAGCACATGTGGATTCTAAATCCTGAGCATTCTCTTCTTGGTGAGCCTTAATTGGTTATGCTTATGGAATTGAGCACTAAATCTCAGTGATTCAATTAAGACATCTGTCTCCTGTGAACACAAATAAGGATGATTCTTCCAATTCCCTATTTCCTAAGGGAAGAGAATGAAAGACATTCGAGTGTTTCAGTGAACTTAAACTTTTAGAGCTAAGGGCATGGAGAGAAAGATCTTTGAGGAAAGGTGTGGGGGCTCTGGGGCCTCTTGCCCTGGCCATGAGCCCGCGGGCACCCTTCAGTCCGGAGGGCTAACAAGGGGTGCGGTCAGCCAAGGATGGCTGTCAAAGTGGCTTAGCACGTGGCCGTTCCTGGGCTGAGATGTAAGAGAAGCAGGCCTGCCTGTCCAGGTGAGTATGATTTAGTCCTTGACTTTACCCGGAGGAGAAATGTAGGGATGGATCATGAGGACTCTAAGCTCAGGGTTTGCTTAAAGACATGTCAAGAATTGTTTTTCTTCAGATCATGTTATGCTATTTCTAATGGTCATCCTTCTTTCCATTTCCCATCCTCTTTCTTTCTTTGTTCCCCATTTTGATACTTTCTCTTGAAAATCATGCTGAAGGTTCTCTCTCCCCCTCGGCCTCCTCTCCCTAAAGGGGACCGCTTTGCATGGCAGCCCCCCACCATCCACAGTACCTCCAAGGACTCCCTCTACCTGAGCTCACCCAAGCCTTACGTCCCCCTCAGCACCCCCAGCCAACAGAGCCCCTCACGACCCCAGCCTGTCTCCATCTCCCTGGCAGCCAGATCCGCTGCCAAAGGCGTGGTGCGTCCTGGGCCCTTGCTTCCTGGTTCCACGTTCCCCAGTGCTTCCTCCCAACCCCGGCACCACTGTGTGGCCACCAGGACGGTTTACAGTGAGAATGTGAGCTCTAACCCACGTCATAAGGCAGTTGGGAATAAAAAGGTCAGCAGCTTATATGTACCTTGTTTATCCAATAACATTTGCCGGGTGGCAGCGCAAAGCTCCTCTTGTGTTGCACCTGACCCAGCCACGGGCACTCCCTTGGAAGCTGCAGGCGCTCGCGCACAGGCTCCCAGCCTTGTCTCCCACGCGGCCGGCACGGGAAAGCCACCCTCTGCTCCTCCTGGCCCTCCCAAGCTATTCTTTGACATCCGTAAAGATGCCACCATCCGGGGCGAGAGTCCTTCCCTGTGCACTCGGCCTCCGTTCCCGGACGCGGTGAGACCACCTGTGCTAGGCCCCCAGCTTTCCTCTGCTCCCGAAAACCGGAAGAGAAAAGAACCTTACCTTTTGCAGCCGTGTTATCCAGCCAAGGCAAGGAATTAGACATGTGTGTGTGTCTTCTACACCATCTCTTTCGAAACTCCTGCAAAGCAGCTCCCTTGTTTTCTGGGCTGCCCTCCCCTCCCTTTCCTCGTCTACACCGCTGCAGCTTGAATCCCGAATTCTTCTCTCTAAACACCTCGGCACAGTCCTCTCTGTCCCCCTCTCTCTTTTCTGGTAATATGTAAGTATGCTGGAGTGTGGGATCCATAGACTAACAACATGGTGAGTTATGGAATGTTTATATCTTTTCACAAGGTGCCAAAGAAATTGTATTGACTCCCAAGCTTTCGGGCTCTGCAAGCAGTTTGGGGGCTAAACACAGCCTGCCTGCCTGTTCTGTTGTTCTCTGTCTCTCTCTCTCTCTGTCTCTCTGTCTCTCTCTCTCTCTCTCTCTCTCAAGTGTTAAAAGGATTCAAAAATAGAAGGATGGAGAGTAAACTTGGATGGGGTTCCCTCTGTGTCACGGAGTGTCAGGAGGCCAGCTGGCTAGCACGGACGGTCTCATGTACTCTGGAGACGGGCACCGATTAAATATTTCTCAGAGTACATCACTGCATGTCCAGTCTCAACTGTTTAAATATGGAATTCCTTCTTCCCTGCCGTGCCCCTTTACGTAACGACCCCCTTATTTCCTACAGGATGCCACTCTCTCCAGTTCAGCCCAGCCTGAGATAATAGTTGTCCCTCTCTACCTGGTTAATACTGACAGAGGGCAAGAAGGCACTGCCAGAACTCCAGCATCTCTGGGGCCTCTTGGCCCCCCAAGCCCGGCGACCGCCCCTGCCGGCTCACCTCTGACCTTCCCGACCCTAGATGATTTCATTCCCCCTCGTCTGCAGAGGCGACCCCACCACAGCCAGCCGGCCAGCGCTTCTGGCCCCCACCCCCCCGTTAGCCAGACCCCGCCATCCTTCTCACCACCTCCTCCGCTGGTCCCTCCGGTACCGGAGGACCTCCGCAGAGCCTCGGAGCCTGACCTCACGGGAGCTGTTTCAAGTACCGTAAGCTTGCTGGAACCCCCTCCTCAAAGCCTTCCTGAATGTCTGCTCCTGGCAGCGAAAAACCCCTTTCTCACTGAAGTGCTAAGTTCTGAGGGAAGTGTCCACCGCCACTGTGCTTGTGTGGTGACTGTTTGCTTTCCCCGGAGTGCATGCCTCCCGTGCGTGTTCATGGTTCTCCTGCAGCTGCTCACAGACCCCTCACGTCCCTCTTCCTGTCTGTCTTATTCGGAATGCACATCTTCCTGAAAGAACTCCGTTTCCCTCAGAGAACCTCTGTGGCTTTTCCTTTGGCTCACGATGCTCTTGAGAGGCCAAGCAGATGTGGTGTTGGAGAGCTGAGGAGCCATGTGGGAAAGCCGATGGCCGGTAGGTTCCCTACCTGGGAACAGTGAGCCTCCAGGGCTTTTGTTGATTTAGCAAGTAAACAAACTCTTTTATATGCAGCGATGGCAGAGAATGGTTAAAAAAGAGAGAGAGAATGGAGTGTAATGGAGCAAATGGATCTAAAAGCCTTGCACAAATGTTGGGACTGTTTTCTCCAAAGGCGTATAATTGCTGGGGCCCCTGACTGGAGGCTCCCAGGGGCCTTTGTGACACAACGTTGCTCCAGGAGTCGTGTGAAGGTAAAGAGCCCCGATACCTCAGGCCCCATCCTGTGAGGGACGAGTCCCCTTTGTAGGTAGGAAAGCCCAAGTGGAAAAGCTGAATCAGGGTACCCAGTCTTTTCTCTCCTCAGGAGCTCTGGGAATCAAGAGAATCTGTGAGAACCTCAGAGTGAATTGTGAGATGGGGATGCATGGATCTACTCACAGGCCTGTGGGGTACAGTAGGACCAAGTATGTTAAACTTCTCTTATAGTGCTTCCCATGGAGAGAGCACTCAACTGTCAGCTATGTTGCCGAGGACTTGCCCTAGCAAGTGGGGGCCAGAGTTCTTAAAAGTAAGCTAGTGGCTAATTAGTTAACAGTTAATGAGTTCCTGCCGTGTTCTAGGCATCCTGCTAGATTCCATAGGTACAACTATGAACAGCGTGCAGCCCTTGCTTTCAAAGGGTTTTTTTGTGGATAGCATATTGGTTCTCAAGCTTAGCACACATGAGATTTAGATTATCTAAGAGGCAAGGAAGCTGGTTTAAATTGTCAATTCTAGATTATACTCCTAGAGTCCTGGAATAGGTCTGCAGAGGGGCCTAGGGCTCTGATTTGATCAGGCACATCCCAGGGGTTCTGTTGCTGAGGGTCCTCAGACCACAGTGGGTCCTGTAATTGGCTGATGAAGGTAAATGTTGAGTAACATCCCTGTGGCTCGTCGAAGCCCTGTGGCTTCAGTCTACGTGACTGAAGCCAGTCATGTAGAAAGCAGGAGAACTTTTTGGCTTATAGGAGAATTTATAGCCAGATATCAGGCACCCCAAAGCTGGGAATGGCTTCATCCTGATCTAGGACTTCTTCTCAGATCTCTAGATGCAACACAGTGCAGTTAGGTCAGGACTCAACTGAACATGGCCCAGGGGCTTTAGATGTCCTTCTAGCTTTGAGCTTTGCAACTCAAACCTGTTGGAGGAAACTGCTAGACTGTTCCTAATGCACTCCCCTCACCCCAGTGCAGCTTACAGGTGAATTGAGAACCTGCTCTTGTTATAGGTGGTATCGATATTCTTCCCCCCGGCACCGAATATTTCTCTTGAGCAGCATATAAAGTGAGATATTTTTAGTGTCCTGGTATATACAATTGTGAGTAGTTTTGTTGCATACTCTCAAATTTATCACCTTTGTAGATCTAGATTTTCGTACTGAATTTTGTTTCAGGTATGCCAGGACAGATTAGTTAGGACAGTTTCCTCGATTTCTCAAACCTGACTGATCAGCCTGATAAAGACTTGCAGGGGAGACTTCAGTTGGCCTGAGAACTTCTGGTTTGGCCCCGGGCAACAGGTGAAAAAGGAAACCGCTTGGGATCCTCCACTGAATGAGAATTGTTGAGAAGAACAGGAGCCCCTAGGGATGGTGGCCAAGCCACAGGTTGATATTTGCTCGGTTTCTGAAGCTATTTAAGAGTAAGAGGGAAGAAGAAAATTCATGTTAATTGATCCACATTCTTTTAGTCAATAGCCGTTTTTGTGATGTTCCAGAAATAAGCCTCATGGCACAGAATATTTGTGTAATACTTAATGTTCACGTGATCCATCCAGACACCACAGTAGGCATTTATACTTTAAAGAGCCATATGCATGATTTTTTTGGTGTGTTTCTTGGGTGCAGTATGGCTGAATTTTCATGAGTGTGTCATTTATCTTTATTAAATCATTTAGGAAGCAAATTAAGAGCAGAGTAATTTTTTTCTATTTTACAAATGAAAAAAAAATGGAGATGAAGCACTTTTGAACAAGATCATATTGTGCCTCTCGAGTCTTGGAAAGATTTTATTCACTACACTGAGCTGTTGCTCATAACTAACAGCTGCAACGTCAGGGCACTTTCCGAAGATTTGGAATGACCAAGCCAGTGTGGTCCAGGAAGCCCCTACTGTGTGTCAGGAGCTGTCCCTGGTCCTGACACACTCTCTCTTGATGCTCACATGTTCTCTTGCTGCAGAAGTTGTTCAGAAACACCTTTGCTAATGGATGGCTCCAGTCATTCAGGTGGCATTTACCGAGCACCTACTGTCTGCAGGGTGTTGTGCTAGGTGCAGGGTGGGTGGGGCAAAAAAGAGGAAGCTAGGCATGGCTTTTGTCCTATGGGCACTTACAGAGAAGCTGATCTCTGGAGCATACTAATTGCTTTGAGCCATACTTTCATCTGGAGAGTAACGATCAAAGTCTTGTTTTTCGAACCCTTTTAAGAATGACGTTCTGGCTAGAGGTCTGCAAATTCCAAAATAGAAACTTGGCAAGATTTATAGATGTGATAGAGGAAACTGCCTACATATCCTTACTGCATTTCGAGGTCTTATTTTCCTGTCTTTAAGAAAGACTGGCATTATTCCCATCATGCAAATTATAACGTTAGTAGTAATGGTTTTATTGGTTTTTAGACCTCAGGTTTTTGAAGTCAAGATTTTCATAAGTCTTTACGACTTCAGAGATCTCTGTCACTCAATACTGCAGTGAAAAACAATGTCAGGATAGGATCGGAAAATATCCAAATCTCAGAAACAAATGCTAGTGAAGTTGTTGAGTGATACAAATAGTAAGAGTAGCTTTCTAGGAGTACCAATACTTAACTCCTCCACATTCTTACATCGATGGCTCCTTGTGCTCGCATTGTCTCATGTTTCTTTAGACAAGTGTACTAAACTTTCCTGATTTTTCCCTTAAACCAGCTCTTGTTCTCGGATCACATTTGGAATTGCATGAGTCTTGCATGTTGTTCTACTTTGTTTTGAATTTCCTTTTTCAGTAACCGGATTGATCCACAGTTATTACCAGGTGAAAATAATGAATGATGTGGCTGAGAATTCCAGTAACACTCACCTTCCCTCTCTACCCTTACTAACACCAACAAAGAGACTAAGCATCCCAGCTTATACTTCTAACTGGAATTAGTGATGTCTCATTGATTACATTTCTTTCTGTAATTAAGGACTTGTAAAGCTTTAAATTTCTGCTTTTTAAAAAGCATCAACATTAGGTTTCATGTACTTACAGTTGGTTACAGTGTTTGTTTTCTTTTCAGGATTCAGGCCCTCTACTGAATGAAGTTTCTTCATCCCATGCTGGAACGGATTCCCAAATCTCTGCACCAGTTAGCAAACCATCATCTGCCTACCCCTCTACGACAATCGTCAATCCTACTATTGTGCTCTTGCAACACAATCGAGGTAAGAGAGCTTCAGAGAACCCCTCCCCCAGCTCACTGGCATCAACATAGCTGTTCTGTGACTTCAGGGGTAAGAATTCTGCCATTCCACAGAAATTTTCATAAACCCCATCCTTCTCCGAGGTCATCTGCCCCAGTCTTCTCCCTCCTGTGACCCACAGAGTAGACCACAGCAGGGAGGTAGGCCCCTGGTTTGGCATGATGTTGGGCATCTGCATAAGTAAGCTGGTGTAGTATGTGTTCCACACGTTGGGTGTTCACAGTTGCCTTCAGATGATTCCACCAAAAAGAAAGAAAAGACAGAAGGGAAAAAGTCTGTGCACCTTAACTCTTCATCATGAGATACCAAATCAGAGCTTTGCCTAGAAAATCTGGGTACAGTAATACTTCTTGTAATAAGTCATGTAGTTCTTTGACATCATGAATTTTCTAGAAAGCAAAATTTTGAGTACCAAAACTTAAAAACAAAAGAAAGCATAATGGGTGGAAACCTTTCTAAAATGTCAAACATGTTTTGGGGCCTCTAAAACAGGCTACTGGACTTTGTGACTCACCGGCCTTGATTCTTGCCAGCAGTTAATGCTCTTGGCTGTCATTCAGTGCACCCTCTGGGGACATGAGGCTCACGTGGCCCCTTAGAGCTCTGCTGAGGGTTTCCATGTGTGTTTTCTATAGTTTCTCTTACTGCTTCTGGTTGGCCCTTCCCCTTCTCTGAAGGGGCATCTTAGGTGAAGCCGAAGTGCTCTGAGGTAATAATTGTATATGTCGACCTTTCTGCTTTAAAACTTCAGAAGATGATGCTAAGTAAAGTCCCAAGTTTTAACTTGTTGGAATTCAATAGAGGAATAAGCTTCCCCTTCACAAAAATCCTTTGCAGTGTGAAGTTGTGAAGCTGTTTCCTAGTGCAGAAAGGGCTGTCTAGTCTGAGTTTCATAGAACATGGAATGTTAATTATTTTATTCAGAGCTCAAAGCTGGGCACCCAGTCTTCCTTTTCTCAACTCCCTACTTGCCTGCTGCTTGCCCCATCCCCCACATAACTTGGATGAGAATGGAACTGGAGTCTATTTTTAATTGTTTTCCATGTTAAATGGAGTTTTCTGTTTCCTGCTTCTAACTTGTAAAACAGATGAATGAAACATTTTTTCTCACTTAAAATCTTCCCACTTGAATCTTAAGTAGTTATTTTAGTAATTTTATTTTTTTTTCATTATGTGTGGCCTCCAAATTAACTGTCCTCCATGAATCTGTGTTCTTCCAAAGGTGATAAGGGTCCCAACCCCCACCCTAAACTATACAAAAGACCCCATTCTCCTTTCAGCAGGGTCATACCCCCTACTGGCAATGGCTTTCTCTGCCCAGACACTGTCCATCATGCAGGACAAAGTGAAATTTTGATTCTCTGTGAACTTCTTTATGATTCATCTTTAAAAAAAAAAAAAAATCCAGTCAAACAGAAGTAAGTTTGTTCCCGGAAGGAGAGGCAGTTTCTCTAAAAATGGGATTTATTCCCAAGGCAACTTGGTTTTTGGGAAATGCCAAAAGTAATATCAGCCGCTTCCGCGACATCCCTCTGATGACACCTAGTGAGACATCTTTGGGCACAGAAATGCCCAATTCCTTTTTGTTTCTTTGAGCAAACAGATTCCTCTTATTTGCCCAAATGTCTTTGCTTCTTGCCTTTCTCTTTGGTCCAGTCTTGCCCTTTGGGTTTAGAGATCAGATTCGTGCTGCCTGAATCACACATCCTTCAGAAAAAGGGTGCAAGTACGTTGGGGTTTTTTTTTGGAAGAAAAAGTAGCCTGTCATGAAGAGCAAACCATATGTTCCCTGAGGAGGTGGAGCACCAAGAGTGGAGGAGAATGGAAACACCTAGCTTCGGATTCCTGATTGTCCGTGGAGAGTAGGGCACGCGTTTCAGGCCTTGCTTTGCAGTTTACCCGGCCTGGCAGCAGTGCTGGTAGACGGTAGCCATGAAAACAGTTTCTTCACTATTGCAGAGTCTCCTGAGGGAATGATAACTTTACTCTACTTCTGGAATTCTAGTTTAGTCATCCTAAAAAAGGCTTACTTTTTTCTTGCCTAGACAGCCCCAGGGCACAGTGTGACAATAACCCTGTCTCTCCAAACCAGGCCCCCCGGTTGCAGACAAATGGGGGGCAGGGGGCACTGCACGTCTAGCCCAGCACTAACGGCCACGCACAACACGGCTCCTCGCCCCTCTCCTCGGCTTTCACACCACACATCTGAGGGCAGATCACTTAAAATCAGTCTGGAGGGAGAATTCGAACCAGAAAACTCAGGACTGAAGAAGCACGTGGATCTCCTAGCTCAGAACTTCTCTGTCTTTAATGTGTACCGTCTTGAGAGGACACACTTGCGGATCCGGATTCAGGAGGTCTGAGGCAGGGCTGAGATTCTGCATTTTTTTCAGCAACTTGCAAGGCACATCGATGCCGCTGGTCCACGAACCACATCAGAGAGCAAGATTTGCCGTGGTTCCCAGACTCTGGATCTCATGGTCACATGAAGCGGTCTGGGAACTAGCCCAGGGTTGCTAATTTCTAACTTTGGTAAATAACACCCCTGAAGAACAACTGCTGTTATCCGTATCACATGTCATTCTCTAAAAGAAAGGCCATTTCATATCTCAGAAGTAGCGACGACATAGTCTTGGAAGTTGAATAAATTTGATTTTGCGTAGTAAGAAAGGCCTTGCCTCTAGCTGGCAGACTGGAGCTTGAGAGCCATAGATCCGGTGGGCACTTTGATGTGACGGATGAGGAAACAGGCTGAGAGCTGACGTGATTGGCCAGTAGCCTCCAGCAAGCTGCTGGCAGTGCTGAGCCTGGAGCTCTGTTGGGCTCCTGTTGTCCGGCTGATGTGAACTGTGTCCACATCCAGAGGTGGACAGGCTGTTCCACAGGCTGAGCGAGGCCCTGCCGCTCTGTTTACTTCTTGCCCACATGGATTCTGGAGGGAGGGTGAGGCCGTAGCCAAGGCGGATGATGACAGCACCCAGGGGCTGGTAGGCGCTCTATTTTTATCTGTGTGGCTGCTTATATTTAGCAGCTTTGGAAGGTAAAGGTCATTTTTGTGCTTATCCCATAGCACGTACACACAGAACTCTCCAAAGGAGATATTGGCCTCCCTTCCTCACAAGTGCCCGGGAGGGTGAGGAATCGATAGACCTTCCATGTTAGGGAACAGCGATGGCCCGGCCATCGTGGTTGGACAGAACCCTGGACTAGGAGTTGGGGGTCAAGGTTCTAGGCCCTGCTCTGATTTTCAGTGTCATCATGGGTAGTTTGTGCTGATTTTCTGAGATGTCTCAACCCACCTGACCTACCTGCTAGAGTTGTTGCAAAGATTAAAAGTGTTAACATGTGTGAAAGCTCTTAACACAATGTCTGGCATTTGGCAGAGCTCTCAGGAGACGGTAGCTGCCTTGGTTATGATTACAATTACATTTCCCTCCAAACATAATAAGACTGGGGTCTTTATAGGGTCCTGGTCCCTTGAAACCAGAGGAGTTGGGAGGAGTCTCTTTCCATGATCAGATCACCTTGAAATCAGACATAACAACCAGAAGGCAGTGACTGTTCCCTGAATCTTGGTGCAAATGTAGGAGGGTGGGCTGGGGGGGGGGGGGGGGGGGGGGGTGAGGAGGGGGAACTAGGACACACCACGCCTGGATAAGAAAGCTGTGTTAATGCCCCTGCATTCAGCTGGATGTGGTGACTATGCAACATTTGACATCTAAGCCCAGGGACAGTTAGGGTGCCAATTTGGGGATGCTCACGAATTCTGGCGTGACTTCCCGGTCTTGCCTTGTCTGTGTAAATCTCATGATGTGTGTCCTTTCTCTTACCACAGAACAGCAGAAACGACTCAGTAGCCTTTCAGGTAGGTACCAAGTACTTATTTACATGCTAACACCTTTGATGTGTGTGCAGCAAAGTCTGAGGAGCCCCTCTGCTATGCTGGGGACTCTGCTGCTGGACCACAAGGATGGTGAAAGCAGGCATGGTCCTGCAGCCTGCGGGCTAGTGGGAGCACACCCAACGGGTGACCCTAACCAGTACACCTGTTCTGTGCAGCTGTGATATGTGTCTTGATGGTAAGAACAGGGTACTCTGAATAAAAAGAACAAGGAGTTGTACCTTAGCACATTCATTAGAGCATTCATGGCAGGCCTTGCTGAAGAAGTCACCTTTCTGTTTGCTTCTATTCCTCTTCTAGGATGTGACAGGTCAGGGTTAGGAAATGTGGGCAAGTTCTTTTATTTGGGGGCAGCAAGCCCAGGTGCCAGTAAATGACCCTGCATGATGGACCTGGGTGAGAAACTCCAGACCAGCAGTGCCTGGAAGAGGGTGTGAGGACTGCTTCCTGAACTTGGGCAGGCATCAGAATCTCCTGGAGAGCTAGTCAAAACCACAATTCCAGGCCACAGCTCCAGAGATTTGGATCTAATGCATATGGGTGAGAACTTACATCTTAACAGGTTCCCCAGTGATGCTGATGCTGCCCTGTGTACTGACCACACTTGGGTATCGCATTTCATCAGGAACTGACAGTGCTGGGCGTGTATCTGACAGATCATCAGATGTCAGGGCTCGTCCCGATAAAGTATGCAGCACTGAGGCAAGGCCAGGGTGGAGGGAACAAACGCACAGCCAAACCTGTGAGGAAACCCAGGAATGGAAAGGTTTTACCATCTCCTTGTGACTTTCTGCTTTGAGTCCTGGTTCTACTGCTTCCCGTTGGCAGAGCCTTAGGTTCCTAATGATCTAAGATGTGAGTTACTGTTATCAGTAGGCACCTCCATTGATTCATTCGTCATTTTACTGAGTGCCTGCTTTGTATCAGGCCCTAAGCCAGGCTCGGTGGCCATGACTGGGCCCTTGAGCAGCCCGTGGTGTGCTGTGATGGTTCATAACCTTATTTTTGGTGATGGACTCATTTGGAGAATCTAACAAAGGCAGTAGATGCATTTCTAGAAAAAGCCACACGTGTCAAACGTGCATGTGGTGGATTGGTAGATACTTGTGAATCGGGGCGGGAATCCCTGATCTGGTGGGCACACACAAGCCACCGTTTTCTGAGCGGCTGCGTCACGATTTCTGTGTTCTTTCATGCTACTGCTGCCCTTGTGATCCGTGGAGAGCCTGGTGGGGAGAACATGGGCTTCTCACACCCTCTCAGCTTTATCGGCACTTGGCCCCAGGACCAGGACAGGCCATGGTTGAGCACAAGGTGCCCTTCGCTGCCCCCTCCTGACTTGCCACACCGACTCACTTCACTCCCTGGCCCCAGCCCAGGTTGCTGACAACAGGGTGGCTCTGAAACAAAGGTAGCTCCTGTGAAGGAACGCCTTCTTGCCTTTGGGATTGGAAAGGAGCATGGAGTAGATGAAAAAAGGTGCTCAGACACAAGTTAGGAGACCCAGAGTTTGGTCCTGGCTGGCTCTTTCCTCTTACAACTGTGTGTCCCTGGGTAAATGACTTTACCTCTCTGAGCCACAGCTTCCTCCTGTGGGAAATGGGGATGATAATCCTTGTCCTTGCCTCAAAGAGGTGTAAGGATCACGTGTGACAGGAAGGGGGGTATGCCTTGCACACTGGAAAGTGCTCTGTAATGTTAGAGCTTCTCCACCAGGCTGGCAGGCTCAGGCCACTTCCTTGGCTCCAAAATGAGCCTAATGTTTCCATCTTCCTTGAGTTTTGGGACAGAGCCACTAATGGTATTTGATAGAGTGGGACATAAAGTAAGTGCACACTAAATGTTCGTTTTTGTTTAAAAAAAAAAAAAGGCACCCTTTTGTTCAGAAGCCCTTGATGGAGAGAAGGCTGGCTGGGCTGAGTCCAGTCACTGACTCCATCAGTGAGGCTTTGCCCATCATACCTGTGGTGATGGCACATGGAGGGCCGCCCATCTCTCCCACTGTCCTTAATGGGTTTTTATTGAGCCTTTATGGGGCTTCTTGTTCAGTGAGATGCACTCGGGATTGAGCCCCACATGGTGTTTAGCCACCTCAAGTTCGTGGTCCTCTTGGGCAGATGGAGAGGAAAACAGGTCAGGGCTGGAGCACAGGGGCTGATATACGTTCTCAGGGAGATGTCAGCATTGCTGTGGCTCTCACTTAAAATCTGTGGGTGTGAAGAAAAGGGAAGCTGCCCACAAACACAGAGGCCCTGCCCCAGGTTGTCAGCATTGTCACTTGTTTAACGACCCTTTGCAGCACCTTCCTTTTGAAATCAGTATAAAACTAGAAAGAAATGCTCCTGGATGTCCTGTTGAGGGGTCAGTATTTGCTGCTATTAAGAAATAGCAGCAAACCCTCATTGTAGATGTCAAAGGGTGGTCCTGTCACCTGCTTGGTACAATGAAGTGTCGCTTTGGGCTTTCAGTATATATATTTAAAAAAAAAATTTTTTTTTGAGGCTTCAGTTCATCTCTCTGTACGCTGAAATTCACTCAATCATGAATTGCATGATCACAAGCTTCTGAAGTGAAATAATTCAGGGCTCATTTCTGTAGATCTGAAGAACTCTGACAGCCTTGGAACAAGTCCATGAACTGTCAGCCTGAGTTTTGCAGTTAAGTGATTGTTGTTAGAGCCACCTGCCCTAACAATTAAAAAAAATTCTCTGGGCCTGAAAACCCTGAGAATGGCAAGTCTGTGCTCTGCTTCTGAAGAGAGGATATTGGAGCAAGGAGTGGGAGCATCTCCAAGCACCAGGTGAGACGGCTCAAAATCAGCCTCACCTGCTGCTTGGTGGTGACACTTAAGAAGGCCTTTCCAGGTGGGAGGAAAATGCTCAGCAGAGCCATTTCAGGGGTAGACTTTGGTAACTTGCAATCGCCCCTACACTGCCAGGCTTCCTGCCAAATCCTTGTTCCTCCCTTCTGGGAGCCTGAGAACTCACCCCATAAAGCCAGTCTGGTCGTAACATCCTTTAAAGCTCATGGTGATGATGTCAGGGATCAGGTTTTCTGAAGCATTCACTAAGCTGAGTCTTGCACAGAAAGTTTAGAAACCGTTCTGTGGTCACAGAATGAGTACTTGGTTCAGAAGTTGGTTTATATACAAAATGGAATACTACTTGGCAGTGAGAAAGAATGAAATCTGACCTTTTGTAGCAACGTGGATGGAACTGGAGAGTGTTATGCTAAGTGAAATAAGTCATACAGAGAAAGACAGATACCATATGTTTTCACTCTTATGTGGATCCTGAGAAACTTAACAGAAGACCGTGGGGGAGGGGAAGGGGAA